GTGGGGACGCCATGGTATGCTCAGAGATCATGGGAAAGCTCCGCCCGGATTCCCAAGGGGCCCGTGACGGGACGTATGAGTGTTTGGCTTTCTCGGTAAATCAAGAGAAATCCGTTCCACCAACAGAGTTTAGTAACTGCCCGACGGATCGCCCGCCCCTCTGTGTACCGTTGGCGTCAGCAATTCTGACGACAATGTCCATGGCGGCTGGCTGCATCGTCAGTTAACGCAAGTATAATTATTTCATTTCATTGAACATATCGTCGTCAATAACAGGATATGACGCTGAGCGTTCGACGGCTCCAGGTCCCAAGCGTTTCGATAGCTTTTGTTTAGCTCTCGTCCAGACCAGACCGTTCCGACCTTACCTCTCAAGACCAACAGCCTCTGTGCAGCTCCAGTTCAGGCCGTTCGGACAATACATCTTAAGACAAAGCCTGAAATGAATCGCTCTTGAAGATCGCTGCCTGGCTCGTAAGCTTCACATCCTTTGCGCAGCAGCGTTGATGCTCACGAAACGAAATGAAGGAAATATTTCGTAGACAGCAGACGCATTGCTGTGTTATATATATATATATATATATATATATATATCCATATGTCCGATTCGTTGTACCAATGGTATCGGTCCATCCTTTCCGTTGTGAATGCACAACAGTCCAAAGACACACTTAATCGCAGGACGCTGCACTTAGTCCCAAAAATATGCGGCTGTTTGCTCGTTCACGGCCGGTGAGTCGTTTGTGACTCGCCATATAAATGTGATAGAAGACGGGTGAGAAAGAAAAAATCCTGTTATTTCTGCGGACCAGAAATAAAAAAGTGGTGACATTGCATACTGCCCTCCTTCTGATAGTTGTAGCGTTAACAACATGTTTCTGAGCGCACTGCATGGCGCGGAGGCGTTCGGCTATTTCCACCATGTACCACTTGTAAATTAAATGTGTCCCCGAATTGCCTTAAGCCCACCATAATTGTCCCGCACAATTGGACCAAGGAACAATGGTAGCTTTAAAAAATTAATAACGGCCAGGCTATGCAGATTTTTTATATGGGTATGCTCACACTTATAACGTGCACACCCTCCCATCCAGAATGACACGTGCCGTACATTCTGATTGGTGCGTGACGTGTGTGACCAGACCCAGGGTCAAGTGGATAGTTTCTTTTGATGACGTAAAGCTCGCCTGCTTTTCCCTATGGTCTTCGGTTGAATCATTCGTCGTGAGCGCTCCTTGTAATACACTGCGCAAGGGATTGCTCACTCTCACCTCCTTTCACCAGCGCTTTTTCTCATCTCGGAAGCGTTGGTCCTCTTGATTACGCGTACGCAGCGTCTCGCTTGGGTAGATGGCGGCTGTACCTTTCCTTTTCTGTGCCGACTTAATCGCCGATGAAACCCAAATTGTGGTGGGTGTGCTCTTCTGAATAATCGATGCGTTCGAAACCCTCAAATGATGGTAATTGGAACTCCAACACAGAATAAATGTTGTACGGGAGCTTTCCATAGGGAGTGCAATTACGAAGTCGCTGAAGGCAGACACGGCCGGTAAGCAGATCAGTGGCGTTGAATTCTCCATGACGATGCTTCGACAAACAAGGACGGGCGCACACAGTAGGCCCCGGGTGCACGTGTCCCCCCCCCCCCCTCCTCTTCCAAATGTGCGGCACGTGTTATACGTAGGCGCTTAGTGTTGGCGGTTCAATATTCCAAAACACGTAAAATAAGAGGCTCGAGGACATGCGACCTTGCCTTACGACACTCAAAAAATTTGTGAGTGCCTGAAGCACGCCAAACCCGGCTTTTAGCGGGTTTTGTTTACTTTGTGCCTTCTCCTCCCCTTCCCCTCCCGTTGCGGAATTTTGCACACGCCTCTGTTTTGAAATAATCAAATTCATTTGGTAAGCAATGTATCATGTTACAAAAGTGATAAAGCGCCCGAAAGGAGTCGGTGAAAAAAAATGTTATACGTAGAAATACGTAGTCGTTACGTATACGTAGTCATACGTAGAAAATTGCGGCTTGCGCTCATCACTTATTCGGCACTTCTCGGTTCGTCTGCTATTCATCCTCCATGCAACAATATGCTTGGAGCTGGAATTTAAGGTAGGTTCTGAAGGGAGAGCAGTGCACCGAGATGGCACCAACAGCACAGGACTACTCCAGGTTATACGTTACAGTGTTATAAATCGAAGAAATTTGTAACCACCGATGCCGGAAACAAATTCAATGTCACTCTTTTGGAGAATGGCAGTGCTTTCACTGTCCCGAGTTTACTGGTACTGAGCAGCTGTTCTTGTTTTTAGATTTTAACAGCGGTACTGTGCCGGTCATTGTCGCCAGCATCAGCTGCACCACTATCAGCTGATTCGACACGCTGCCAGACCACGCTTGCACCGGCCGATGCAGTATCCGGTCACTGCTGTTCCCACGACATCTGGGAGCTGGCCTCAGCTGTGCTGACGCGCCCCGGTCCGCGGTCGGTCCGCTCCACTGTCGGCACCGTCCCCGACGCCCGGCCGTCCCCGGCCGTCAGGAGCAGCCAGGTCAGCGGCGCCCAGCCTGACCCACCGTCGACTGAAGGAGGCCAGCGCCGGCGCTCGTGACGCGCCGGGCTCCGGCGCGCCATAGTTGTGACGCTGCACGTCTCCAGCGCGCCACAGTTGTGACGCCGGACGTGTCGGCGTGACCGGTGGGGGCGCGCAGGTCGGGCGGGCTTCCGCCGCCGCGCTTTGTCTCGGGGCCGCGCGGCCGGGCTGCAGGCAGCGAGGACAGGGAAGCGGTACGGCCGGGCTGCAGGCAGCGAGGACAGGGAGGTGTGCGGCCGGGCTGCAGGCAGCGAGGACAGGACGGTGTACGGCCGGGCTGCAGACGGCGAGGACAGACAGGTATCGGTGACTTCCTCACCCCACCGGTCGCTAACAGCCGCTGCTCCTCACTCTGTCAACGGCTTGTGGTTTGGAGCTAGGCACGGGATGTGGATCCCTTTGCTTGACCTGCCACAAATTGGACGGCATGTTTAGGTGACCGGCCTGGTCGTTTCCGACACCAGGCAGCCGCATGCTCGAAACGTGGTACCAAACGCATGGAAACAGCGCTGCCATTGGAGCTCCTTCAATAATAACTCCTGGAGACCGCCGCCAACACGTCGACGATTTTGAGCATAGATAAGGAATATAGAAATGTGGAGAGAGAGACGTGGGTGCCAATTTCAGATACTTATCATGGGAAAATAACAGCGTTGTGCTGACCTAAATGGGTCTGATGTGAACGCCGATATATCGGCCACATATTCCGTAATCTTCGCCCACAACTGTATCTGGTCCTGGCCGATGCTCGGTTCATCACACCTCGTTGTTATGTCAGCTGGCCGCCAAGGGCGGATCCAGGGGTAGCCAAAGGGGCGATGCCCCTCCCCAGGGGTCGTAAAACCATGATTCCCTCCCTCTCCCAAAAAATGCGGTCGGGGCGTATGCTGTTGCTCTGTCATGCACCGTCATGTCTACAACCATGAATTATGTGGGGTTTCCCCGTTTTGATACTGTTGAGGCGGTCAGTTGTGTCAACAGTCAATGGATTACCCGCAGCTTAACTAGCGAGTCCTAACATGAATAGGTTCATTGCTGTGGATGGTTAACCAGTTATCACTCATCTCGACATTTCGAGAAGTTGCTAATCCCGCTATTCTGTTGACTGGGTCCCTAGTGACCCGTTAACTTCATCACCACACCCAGCCTACCGGTCACAGATTGTTCTGCCCTCCGTACACAGCGACACGTGCGACACAGTGACCTGGGCCCAAGCCACCACCACGGGGTCGTGCCTTATGGAGAGAGAGAGATAGAGAGAGAGAGAGAGAGTGAGGAGAGAGAAG